CGCGAGGAACGGGCGGCAGACGACGCGCGTCGGGGAAAAGGGGCGTCGAGGATGGCCAGGAGGTGCTCCCGGGCCCCGGGGTGCCAACGGCCAAGGTTGACGCGCAAGATCGGTTTCGCGGCGACGCCCCCCTCTTGCTATCCGACGGGCGCGCAGTGGAGCGCGGGCGGCGCCGCGAAGCAGGGGCCAATCCCAAGCGGTGCGTTCATTGTCTCGGCACGCGATACCCGTCTCGGATTCGCCGCCCGGGCGCCGCCCGCACGGCGGGCCGTTGCCGGTTTCGGCTCCGCGACAACAGCGACTGGACGTTCTACGTTCGACGCTCCATACTGCACCGGCGGCCTCGACGTCGGCGTTTTCGCGAGAGGCAGGTGGAATTTGTTCTCGGCCCTCTCAACGCGCCGCGGGAGGGCCCGCCGCGCCCCCGCCGTCGCGCCTGCGCGGTGCACCTCGCGGCCGGTCGACGCGATCCAACTCGACCTCAGGACCCCGCGCTCGCCCGCGCGCGCCGCGTCGCTTCCGTCGGGACGCCCCGGGGACTTGAAGTCGCGCCTCCAGGAGTTTTTGCGCGCGAAGGATTCGCGCGCGGGGCGCGGGCGAGTCATCTCGGCAGTTCCGATTTCGATCGCGCGAAGCATCACATGAATGGCGCGCCCGTCCACCACGCGAAGTACTGATTGCCCCCCGCGCAGCAGGCGACGCTGGCCGACGCCGGCGGCGACGTTTTCCAGGCGCTTCTGAGCCCCTGTGCGGCGCGGGCCACTCCGCGCCGCAGTGGGGCCCAAAGTTGCGGTTCAACGCCTCCGAGCGTTGCCGCCTGATCTTTCGCGCGGCGGAGCTGGGGCCCGCCGATCTCGGGCCTGGATCTTCGCCGCGAAGGAGAGGGGGGACCAGCGGCAGAAATTAAGGGGCCAGGGTCTTGACGCCGGCGAGCCCATCAGACGCAGTCGTCGGCGCACGCAGCGCTCACTCGCGGCGCGGGGTCGCGGTGACTTCGACGGGGCATGGCTCTCGGACGCGGCCGCCCTCTCGGGCGGCGGCGAGTTGAGCTGGGTTCAGGTGTGCGCTGGGGGGCGCGCATTTTTACGGCGGGCGCGACCAGTTCTGGAACCGGCTCGCGGGGTCGATCTTGGGGATCGACTTCACTTCGCGCCGGCAACAGGGGGGGCGTCCGAGGCCGGGTCGGGCGAGCGCCCCGCACGTCGACAGAGCGAATGTCATCGGCATCGCTCGCGACATTTTCTGGCGCGCCCACCCGCTAATTGCGCCCGCCCCCGCGGCGAATTTGGCCGCCTGCATCTCGCCGCTCAGCCGGCGCTCGGGCTGGGCGCGGCAACGGGGTGGCCATCCCGATCCTTGTCGGGCACTGGTCCAGCTGCTTCGCGCGTCGAGTCTCGACGAGACATTGGGCGTCGCCGGCGAGCGCTATGGCGGCGAGGCTCAGCTCTGGGGCCCCGCGCGGTGGGAGCTGGAGGTCGCCGGCAGGCTCGCCGTCTGCGCAGGGGCCAACTGCGGCGCGGAGCCCACGCCCGTCGCCTTTCGCGGAGCCGCCTCTGCCGAGGGCCCCGGGCCGTGCGCGGTGAACATCGGCGACTCGGAGGCGCCGTTCAAGGAGCGCCAGCGGCGCGACCGCGCCGAACGGGGCCGACGAGCTCGGGCCCGCCGGCTGGCGCGCGGGATCCGCGCCTGGCAGCCCGAGCGCCGACGGCGCCCTCGCGAGTGGGGCGGCGCCGCCCAGGGACGTCGCCAGCTCCGCCCGCGGCTGGAGGCGCGGGAGGTCCGCGCCGACCAGGCTCATCAGCAATATCGACAGCCCGTCGCGCATCTGCACCCTCGCGAAGGGCCGCGCCCAGTCGCGCTGCCTCCATGGCCTCTGCCAGCGAGCTGGGGCGCCAACCGCCGCGCGTGGCGTCGCTCGGCGTCGGCGGCATCTGGGGGCGAGCAGGGCGAGCAGGACCCGCGGACTCCCCCGCAGATGGTTGCGGCGACGCGCAGCCCGATCGAGCGCAGCTCGTCCGCGCAGGACGAGCCGTCGTGGGAGCCGCCGGCCCCTTCGCCTTCGCGCCGGGGGCGCGGCTGCCGCCGAATGTTGCGCGCGCCCAGCCTGGCCCCCGCACTTCGGCTTCGCGCTGGGGGCGCGGCCGCCGCCGCGCGCTGCCCGCTCAGCCCAGCCCCCGCAATTCTCAGGATGGATAGAATTTAGCTTGGCGAAGGACCCAACCATATGCAGTTGTGAGTATCGCTAGTGTGAATACCTTCTTCAGTGGCGCTCTCTACGGGGCCGCGAACCGCGCGAGGGGTGCGCCGAATTGCACGGCGGGGTGCGCAACACGAATGAAGACGATTGGTCGAATTACGAGAGACTGAGCGTGGGTGAGTCTGAGCGCGGGCGAGTCCGAGTGTGAATGAGTCTGCGTGCAAGTGGGTCGTAGGCGAGTCAAGCGCGCAGACAGAAGGAGCTCTGGGCCACTGGAGCCTTCGGTGTGCCGAAACGATAGGAACGCTGACATGCGAATTGTGTCGCGGGCGCCACGAAACGTGTGAGGGGTGTGCCAAATTGGCGGCGGAGCCATGCGGACTGCGCCGCTGGGACCTTAGATGGAGCTCCCCATGGGGCCACGAAGCGCATGAGGGGTGTGCCAAAATGGGGCGGCGCCGCCATGCGGTCTGCGCCACTGGGACCTTCGGTGGAGCTCCCTATGGGGCCACGAAACGTGTGAGGGGTGTGCCAAACTGGAGCGGCGCCGCAACGCGGGCGGCGCCATTGGGACCTTGTGTGGAGCTCCCTACGGCGCCGCGAAGCGTGTGATGGCGTGCCCCCATGGTGTGGAGTGCGCCACAGGAAGGGCCACGAAAGGGGCCACGAAACGTGTGAGGGGTGTGCCAAAATCAAGCGGCGCCGCCATGCGCCGCTGGGACCTTCGGTGGAGCTCCCGACGGGGCCACGAAACGTGCGAACGGTGTGCCAAATTGAGGCGGCGCCGCCATGCGGACTGCGCCACTGGGGCCATAGGTGAACTTCCTTATGGGGCCACGAAACGTGTGAGGGGTGTGCCAACATGGGGCGGGGATGCCATGCGGGCTGCGCCGCTGGGATCTTCGGTGGAGCTCCCCATGGGGCCACGAAACGAGTGAGGGGTGTGCCAAATTGGGGCGGGGATGCCATGCGGACTGCGCCACTGGGACCTTGTGTGGAGCTCCCTATGGGGCCACGAAGCGTGTGAGAGGTGTGCCAAACTGGGGCGGCGCAGCAATGCGGGCTGCGCCACTGAGGCCATATGTGGAGCTCCCTATGGGGCCACGAAACGTGTGAGGGGTGTATGCGGACTGCGCCATTGGGACCCTAGATGGAGCTCCCCATGGGGCCACGAAGCGTGTAAGAGGTGTACCAAAATCGAGCGACGGCGCCATGCGGGCTGCGCCACTGGCACCTTAGGTGGAGCTCCCTATGGGGCCACGAAGCTCGTGAGGGGTGTACCAAAATGGGGCGGGGATGCCATGCGGACGGCGACACTGGGACCTTCGGTGGAGCCCCCTGAGAGGCCACGAAACGTGTGAGGGATGTGCCAAAATGGGGGTGGCGCCGCCATGCGGGCAAACGGAGATTATAGGAGGTCCCTATGGGACCACGAAACGTGTGAGAGGTGTACCAAAATGGGGCGGCGGCGCCATGCGGGCTGCGCCGCTGGGACCTTAGATGGAGCCCCCCATGGGGCCACGAAGCGTGTGAGGGGTGTGCCAAAATGGGGCGGCTGCGCCATGCGGGCTGCGCCATTGGGACCTTAGATGGAGCTCCCTATGGGGCCACGAAGCGTGTGGGGCCACGAAACGTGTGAGGGGTGTGCCGAAACAGAGGCATACGGAGAGCAAAGGCAAGTAGGGGGAGGGATGGAGGAGGAGGAGGAGGAGGAGGAGGAAGGAAGGAAGGAAGGAAGGAAGGAAAGAAGGAAGGAAGGGGAAGGAAGGAGGAGAACACGGGGCACCGTCTCTTCAAAACGAGAAACCAACACCACAGGATGGTTGGGAAAACCACAGACGCAATTAACCGTCGATCCCCCAGAAAATATGTGACATATGGGAAGTGGGGGGCGACACGAACCCAGAAGACATGGGAAAAGATGGGGAATCTTGTTATCTGTGTGTATGTGTGTGTTGTGTGTTGTGTGTTGTGTGTTGTGTGTTGTGTGCTGTGTGTGTTTTGATTGTTTGTTTGTTTGTTTGTGTGTGTTGTGTGTCGTGTGTTGTGTGTTGTGTGTGTTGTGTGTTGTGTGTGTTGTGTGTGTTGTGTGTGTTGTGTGTGTGTTGTGTGTTGTGTGTGGTGTGTGGTGTGTGGTGTGTGGTGTGTGTGGTGTGTGGTGTGTTGTGGTGTGTTGTGTTGTGTTGTGTTGTGTTGTGTTGTGTTGTGTTGTGTTGTGTTGTGTTGTGTTGTGTTGTGTTGTGTTGTGTTGTGTTGTGTTTGTTTGTTTGTTTGTTTGTTTGTTTGTTTGTGTGTGTGTCCTTGGGCTCCTTCAAATTCGCCCCCTGGCCTCGAGCAGCGCCCTGGCGGGCGCTCGCCGCGCTGCCGGCCCGGTCAGCCGGGGCGCTCTCCACGGCAGGGGCCGCCAAGACGGAGACCGCCCCCCACCGCCCCGCGGGAATGTCGAGCGCTCCTCCTCCTCCTCCTCCTCCTCCCCCTCGTCCTCCTCTTCCTCCTCCTCCTCCTCCTCCTCCTCCTCCTCCTCCTCCTCCTCCTCCTCCTCCGCGCGGCATCGTCTTGGGTCTCGTCCCGGCTTCGTCTTGAGTCTGTTGCGATGTTGCATTCTGCTTCGCGGCGTCGTGTCTGAGGACTGAGGAGACGTGACGCGAGGACAGAGGACGACGACGACGACGACGACGAGCAGGACTGGGGAGGAGGAGGTGGAAGTACATGGGAGGCGGAGGTAGGGTTTGTGCGTAAGGAGGAGGGAGGCTGCTAGTCAGAAGGCGGATGCAGGGCCCGAGCGCCCCGCGCCCCCGGCGAGGCTCCGAGCCGGAGAGGGCCGGGCACTCCGGCGCCGATGAGCTGCCGCGCGAGTGATGGGGCCGCCCCGGCGGCCTGCGGCCAGCGCAGCGCCGGCCGGCTCGGGCTCCTCCCTCGAGGGAAGAAGCACGAGCTCTAGAGGCCCAGATGGGCTCCGAGTAGATGGGGCCGGAGGATCGCGCCGCATCGGCGTTGCATCGCCGATGCCGCTCGACGTGGGACCGGATGTTCGCCACGCCGGCGGCGGCGATGCATTTTCCGGCGTCGCCGCGGCGTCGGCGATGCGGCGCGATCTTCCGACCCCATCTTTTCCGATCCCCCATTTGGGAGGCCTCTACGAGCGTCAGGAGTTGGGGCTGCAAACAGGCCTTGCATGACTTTAAAGACTGAGCTTCGGATATCGGGGGGGGGACGAATTGATTCACCCACGAGGCTTGCCCGCTGCCGCGATCGCTGCCTCGTCGTTTCTCTCTGCCGCCGTCCGACCTGCTTCTAAGCTTCCATTGGGAATCAGACTCGTTCCCACATGGCCGACCGACCGGCCGACCCGGATGAGGATGCCGCGGAGATCTTGCCGATGCCGATCTTATGGTCATGGTCCATGTCGGCCGTCGCCGATTCGACGGGATTACAGTCGGGGCCCTGAAGAAGGAACCCTTTTCGTTGGGGAGGGGCTCCGTGTTCCTTAAGTGTTTCACAGCTTGCCTCAGATTTCCCTCATGTTTCCGATAGGAAATCGAAGTTTAATGAATGGTAAAAAGGGGCCTCGTTCCTTATGTAGGGTTCCTTAGGTCAACGCCCCGCCTGCATCAACGAGCTGATGCTGGCCAAAATCGGCACGGCCCTTCTACGCTCAGTCTTGGTGATGTTCCTCGCTCGCGTCCTCTCCACAACATGCGGGCTCCCCGCGCGGGCCCGCAGAGCACGCGCAAAGGGGGGTGACGGGAGGGGGGAGGACTTCTTGTTGGCATCGCTCGGACGTGTGCATTCTTTCTTCGGCGAGGACCAACGAGGAGCATCCTTGATCATTTCGCGAAAAAAAAAAACACGCACGGAATAGAAAAAAAACACAGGGAACGGACGTCCGAGGGATGGCCAGTCTTAGAGGCACCCCTGCTTCTTCGAAGGCGCTGGCCTGAACTATAGATGTAGGGCCGGCGCCTTCTAAGAAGCAGCCTCCTTCTGAGAAGCCCTCCCGTTTCCCTCCGCCCCCTAGGTGCGCACCGCCAAAACGTGAAGGCACGGGCCAGCACGGCACGTTCTCCACCGGCGCAAGGGGGGCAGGACAGGGGCAGGGGCAGGGGCAGGGGAGGAGGCGGAAGGGGAGGAGCCCACTGGCAGAGGACAGGGGGAGGGGAGGAGGGGGGGGGAGGGGGGAGAGGAGGGAGGGGAGGGGAGAAGGGGGGGAGAGGGGGGAGGGGGGGGGGAGGAGGGAGGAGGGGGGAGCAGCGAAAAGGGGGGAGAGAGGCGCGCGCCGCGCGCCCTCGGGGGGCCTCGCGCGCCTGGCGGGGGGCGGCCTCGCGCCCGCGGCCCCAGCGGCCGCCTGGCCGGGCAGCGCCCGCCGCGAGCCCGGCCGGCCTCGCCGGCCTCGTCGGGCCCGGGCCCCACCGGCCCGCCCGAGGCGCCAGCCCAGGACGCGTCAAACGACGCGAAGATCGGGACAAAATCGGATCGGGATAACTCGAAATCTCTGAGAATCGGCGGGTTTGGAGGATGTATTGGGCGCCGCGGCCGCTCCAGAGCGTTCCGGAACGCTCTGAGAGCGCTCCGGAACGCTCTGGAGCGATTTATCCCGATCCTAGCCCTGTTTTACAGGACGCGCTCGGCGGCCTGGTGATGCCGGTGGCCGCTGGCTCGCCTCCGCCCCGCTTCGAGCAGCGGCGAGGAAGTTCTGCCTCGCCGGCAGGCCCGCCAGAGGAGGATGTTCTGAGATCCTTGTGTGGTCTGCACGACATGTGCTGGTCTGCACGAGCGAGATGGGCACGGAAAGGATGGGTACATGCTCAACAGAGGCTCCTGTTCATTTTGTACAGGACTCGCTGTCCGCGCCGCCGCGGACTGTGTCCATTCGAGACAGAAGGCCGCCTGCCCAACAGGGGCCGCTGTTGGTTTGGGACAACACTTCTTGTTGGGCATTGTACCCATTCCTTCCGTACCCATTTCGGGCGTCCAGAGCTGAGGGCAGTAGACCTTAAGAATGCCGGGACAGTCGGTCCTTGCTCCGTTTCTGGGTTTCCTAGATGGGGTCCGAGCAGGCGAGGTCGGAGGAGCCCGCCGCATCGCCGATGCATCGGAGGTGCGGCGCGATGTGGAGCTCGACTTTCTCCATGAAAATGTCGCCACTGCAGCGCCGATGTCGACGGTGCATCACCGATGCGTTGGCGATGCGGCACGATCCACCGACCCCAGCTGCCGGGGCCCCATGTAGGAGGTTCCTGAGCATGCCCGTCGGCTGTTGAAAGCAGGTATGTTTTAGGTTCCCAGATCCCGGTCTGCTTCTGGCGCGGTCCTTCTTCAACCATCGATGTGCGTTTGATCTGCCGTGCTCTGCTATTCTCTGGGAGGGCCTGAACCAAACCTACTTTAGCTGCCTTCGTACTGAGTGTGTTTACCTATTCCTTCCGACCGACGTGTACTCCAGATTTCGTAATAAAAGGGAGGGGGTCTGGACCCTCCAAGACAAGCCATTTCAGACCTCCCCCCGTGGGAGAACCCTCCAAAACATCGTCCCCAGACCCCCCCAGGCCCTCCAAGATAGCCTGGAAGAGACCCCCCCCCGAAATGAGACCCCCCTCCCTTTATTACGAAATCTGGAGTAAGCATAAACCTTCGGAGGTCCGAGCAGACTGCTTGGATCGGCGCTGGAGCCCCCATGCCGGCGCCTTCGGCCTCGCCCGCGGCGCGCTCCTCGTGCCAGGGAGACCAGTCCAGCGCCGATCCAAGAAGTGGCCGCGGACCTCCGAAAGTTCATGTTTGTGTCATCGTTCGCTCCTCGATGTGAAACCCTACGAGCTCTGATGATGAGCTGGGAGGATCGCAGAACCTCAAAAGTGTCCAAGATGGTGACAATATCAGCATGGCTGGCGTGGAATCGCGTATAGACTTCGACATCAACGGAGCAGAGAAGGCCATGGGCACCCGCAATGCATCAAACAACACACCAACTGTTCGGTGCGCTACACCAGGACCAGCAGGTGCGGTCTGGAATGAGACCGCAGAGTGCGCGTGCAGATGCCGAGGATGGCCCGAAAGGATGAGCCTTCGCGGCGCAAGCCGTTCACGGCGTGGCAACGCGCCCAAAGACCAGTCAGCACCCGCATGTTTGTGTGACGCGCACGGCAGGTCCAACCGACTGCCAGCACGGCCCTCGCATTCGCCAGAAACGCTGGCAGCAGCGCCCAACCTTGAGGACCGTTAACCCACCATACGATGGTGGGACAGCGGTCTCATTTCAGCTCGGATGGTGTATGTATGGTGACCGTGGCACTGCACGAAGTGGCATCGGGATCGTCAACATTACAAGCTCTAAGCAAGTATCGGAAGTTTGAGGTTTATGTATTGTGGTATGTTTGATTGCCGATGATGGATGATTCATGATCAAGACGGTATCGAGTAAGGATCTGAAGAAACCGCCCGAATGTCCATGATTAGTACACATCAGTTGGCAAAGGCGTTTTGCACAAGATACAACGGTGCGACACACGTCAGTCGACGGACACTTCAAGGGTAGCATTGACAGAGAGATGCTACTGCAAGCAATGCCAGGTCGGCAGGGCATTAAGTTACACATGATAGGCCAGACGCTTCGCGCAACCCCACCAGTACATCCAAAAACGATGCCATGGCGAGTTGCCCTGATCAGGGATGTGGAGGAGCATGCAGTGGAATAAAGGGATGGGAGATCCGTCATACCCCAATAGGGAGAGGATGGAGGAGGGAGGAGCGAGGAGGAGGAACAGGCGGAGGGATAGGCAGAGGAGGAGGATGAGGAGGAGGAGGAGGAGGAGGAGGAGAAGGAGGAGGAGGAGGAGGGCGAGCAGAAGGGCCAGAGGCCTCTTGGGCCGCCTTGGGGGTCTCTTGGCGGCCCCGGGGGCCGTCTTGGGTGCCTCCGGGGGGCCTCTGGGAGGCTGCTCGGTTGGGGGCATCCTGGGAGCCTCTTTTGTGGCCGCTTGGGCGCCTCTTGGGGGCACCGTGGGGCCCTCTTGGGGGGCATCGTGGAGGCCTCTCTGCTGTCCCTCGATCCTCGCTCGCCCCGCCCCGTGCCCCGTGCCCGCCTCCCCGTGGCTCCCGGCGCGACGCTGGCCGCGGAGCCGAATTCTTGCACGCGATTGGCTCGGCAGCTCCAGTCCGCTCGATGGTCTGGGCCTCCCAGACGGGGTCCGAGCGGGTGGGGTCGAAGGGTGGCCTCGCCTAGCCGAGGCAGCGGCAGCGCGGCTCGACTTGGAGCCTGGTTTTCTCCAAGGCGCCGTCGCCGAGGCATCAGCCATGCATCGGCCATGCATCGGCGAAGCGTCGCGATCTTGCGACCCCATCTGCTCGGACCCCATGTGGGAGGCCCTTACATTGGCAGCAGCCGTGCTCGTCGGGGGCGGCCAAGTGGTCGGGTGGGCCCAGGACTGGGACAGGTCGGTTCAGTGCGTTCCGGAACGCTTTGAGGGTGTTCGGGAGCGCTCGAGAGCGGCCAAGGCGCCCGACACATCTTCCGGAATCGCGGGATCTCAGAGATCTCCGATCTGTTTTGGTCCGATCTGGCACAGCGGAGTGATGGCTAGTGGGGAGTCGATGTCATGATTGGGGCCATCATATCTCCGCAGAGCTTGTGGCCATCTTTGCTTGTCTCAGCACATCCCGTGGTCCCCCCCCCTGGGCCGTGCGCATGCCACTGACGATGTGCGACCCCCCCCCCCTAAGACGCCCCCCCTTCCTTGGACGCCCTCGATTCGGGAGTGGACTCAAGTGTTCCTTGCCCAAGGTGCCCCCGGATTTTCGCGCCCCTCTGGAGCCCCTGGGGGGCCCTCTGGGCCTCGCCGGGGATGCTCTGGAGGCCGTCTGGGCCTCCTCGGAAATCCTGGGGACCCCGCAGGCCAGGGACACCTTTGACAGCACCCGACGTGTGAGTGTCACTGCCGCTCGGTGCCTGTGCCGATGCCCGCGCTGTTACTCTAGGACAGAATCTCGCGGGCTGCGGAGCAGAAGCCATCGCGTGGCGCTCTGCTTCACCTCTCCTCGTCGGCGTGCGCGCTCACCTGCGATCGAGGCTCAGGAGCGATGTGCAGTTGGTTCGAAGAAGAAAAACGCTATAAACGTAAGTTTTGGCGCTCCGCGCGGATCTCTTGGATCGGAGACCAAGCCCCCCTGGCGGCGCCTCAGACGCCGCCCCTGGCGCGCTCCCCACGGAGCCAAGAGAGCCGCGCAGAGCGCCAAAAGTTTTTTTTATGCAGTTATTTCTTCATCGATTGGTGGCACGATTTGTCTTGTGATCACGGCGAGACCATGCTGAACGTTGCGGCTCTGTTAGGAAGAGGGAGAGCCAGCGATGAGAGCTACAGGGAATGAGGAGGGTTAGGAGGAGGAGGAGGAGGAGGAGGCTTCTTATAACCCAGAAATGTTTTGAGAACGAAAGCAGTGTTCTGATAACATAAGCCTGATGTGTTAAACCAAGACGGTCCCCACTAGAAATGTTCTGAGAACATTTCGTGGCAACCACAAACGGTCCTCAGAACATTGTTTGGCAGGGCTATTGCTTGAACTCCGTGCCCCAGGACAAGCAAGACAAGGCATCAAACGCTGGTGCCCGACCTGCCCGACCCCCAACTCCCGAGGCCCCCTCCCGAGACCCCGCGCGCAGAGGGCACGCCCGCGCCAACGGCGAGGATGCCCCCAGAGGGCTTGGAACCTTGTCTTGGGCAAAGGGGCCACGCACGCGCGCAGGCGTAAACTCGGGTGTCCCAAAACCGTGTGGTGACAGACCCGGCGGCGACCTCGAACTCCGCAAAGACCTCACCGCACGGTCCGTCACCACACGGTTTTGGGACCCTGGAGGCTCCAGTCGCCCGAGACATCCTCGGAGAACGACCCAAGTCCCAAAACCGTGCGGTGACCCCGAATCCCCACAGACTCACCTCACGGTGTGGTCACCACCCCGTTTGGGAGCCACCAAGTAAACACCGGGCACCTGAAAGCTGAGGCCGGGAGGCGGACGGTGGCCGAGGAGGCCGGGGGGCGGCGAGGAGGTGCCTCGGCAGCAGCAGGCGGAAGCGGTGGCGGGCCAGGACAAAGAAGGCGGGCGGACCCAGACATCCAGCAGCACGCGCCTCCTTCTGTGCGGGTGTGGGCCTTCGGACCTCTCGCCCCCGGCCCCCAAGGCTGGCGCCTCGTCCTGGGTCGAATGACGATCGCCCCGTGGCCCAACACCGGCCCCTCTAGGGGGAAAACAAACCTACCTCGCTTTCGACCACCCTCGCTTCCAAGAGATACCAAACGATGCCAAATTGCAGCCTGTACTGGTCAGGCCGCTTGACGAGGAGGCGCGTGGTATGGCTTGGTTTTGCCTGGAAGCGAAAGCGGGGTAGGTAATTCACGCTCTGACCCTCGGAGGCCCGAAACGGCGACCGGCTGGCTGTCTCGCTGTTTGCTCGAGCCGCCAGATGTCTGGGAAGGCGCGATACCTTCAGGCGGGCGCGCGGAGGTGCTCTGACCAGAGGCACACGTGCCGCTCCTGGAGCACACTTCGACAGCACAAGCGTGCTCGGAATCATCGTGTGGGCGTGTCCCCGAGCCTGAGTTATCGAGGATCCTCGCATTTCCATCTCCTCCTCCTCCTCCTCCTCTTCCTCCTTCCTCCTTCTCTTCCTCCTCCTCCTCCGAATCCTCCTTCTCCTCCGCCTCCCCCTCCCCCTCCTCCTCCTCCTCATCCTGTCTCGGCATGCCTTCGAACCTGAAGGCTCAGCCAATCCGCCCAGCCCGACTGGGACACCTTGGACACTGCCCGGCCTAATTGGGACACCTCCCGGCCATTGGCGGACGGGAAACGCACTCTCGGTTGTATTCATACGCGAAACACCCGGGACACCGTCTTGCCCAATTGTGGTATTCCCGACCAGTTGCGGACGAGGAAAAATATCCGGTCCTCTTGCCCGCAAACACGACACGAAACCGAAACCGAAACCGATTTCCCGGCGGGGGGTCCCTATTCATTGCGATCTCTCCCCCCGGCCTCTCATCTATTCCAGCCCGATCGCACATCCTGCAATTGTCAAATAACGCGGCTGCCCGGACAAGATTCTGCTGCAGAATGTGTTGCCAACGTATTGGTATAAGTTGTGCGAATGTGTCTCCGTCGGGTGTGTCATAGGCGCCGTTAAACAAAATATGAAAGCATCCCGAATCGTATTTGGGATTTGCGTTTTGCCCAAATTGAGTTGCTTCATTTGTTGCAGCTTCGTGGCGAAGCAGATATGTATGTTGCATTATATTTGTTGGGCGGGTGCGAAACAGGTCATCTGCATCATGGTGACAATTGGACTGTATTGGATACGATTGATTGTCCAGCTCCATTTGGATTGCGCTATCGGTTGTCACCTTTTTGATAATAGAGCGATTTTTATGCGTCTTTGTCTATGACTGCCATGGCGTCCACGTCAGTTCCGCACATATTCGTTGGTCACAATTCTCCCATGTTGGCGTGACTGCATATACGGTGCCCCAAAGATCGTGCCAAGGCAGATCGTGCCAGGGCAGATCGAACACTCGGCATCGATGGATCGAGTTTTTTTTTCTCTTCTCTCTCTCTCTCTCTCTCTCTCTCTCTCTCTCTCTCTCTCTCTCTCTCTCTCTCTCTCTGTAAATAGCTTATCGTATTGCATCGTGGTCTGCGTGCATCATGTTAACATTTGGATTCATGATCCCATAGTATTGCATGCCATATCGAATTGTCGTGAGAAAAATCGGGCCGAATCCTCATTGACGAGGTGTGAGGGGTTTTGGTATCGGGTGGTGAATCGGGCCAATCGTTCGATCAACCATTCCATCATAATCGTTGTCGTTCTCTGTTGCCCAAAATATCTGGACATTAAATGCTAATCATTTGTGTTCATATCGCACCCTCAGAAAATGCACATCCGAGGTCCCAAACCGAGTAGCCGAATACTGCTAATTTTCGGATGGTGCATTCAAGCAGTGTTATCTTTTCTTCGGTGATCTCTCGTGCTTTTGTTATTTAGCTGTCGGCCTCAAAAATTATCGTAGAATGTCAAGGCGGAGGCGGTGGCAATCATTTGGGAATCTCGCTTTGGGTCCACTACAGTTGGGGCATGCGTTGGAGTCGTTGTCATAATTGTCCGAAGTCGTGGACGAACGCGTACAATATCAAACATTTTCTCGATTTTTTCCTATGGGCTCTTGATTCGGGATTTTTTGGGAATCGCTCGGGCCTTGCTAGCGCCACCCATCGCGGTTTGCGATGGCTGACCCAGAGATTCTGTAAAATCCTTTCGTTCCTTGTTGTTTTCTTCCTCCTCCTCCTCCACCTCTTCTTCCTCCACGGATGTTGCTTATTGCAACGCTGCTATGACGGTTATTTTTTGGCCCATCTCTATGTTTGATGTAATGCGCTAAACATAATAACTATGTGATACTATTGTTTCCCATTCTTCGTCGAACTAGTTCACAAATTCCACCTTTTCCAATGATTCAAGGCTCGGACTGGAAAACAAACCTGGCCAGAATGAAACTCGAGCGGCCAAACATTACTTGATATCATACAGACAATTGAAAAAAAGGAGGAGGAGCGGAAGAAAACCAACGCCAATCGTACATATATTACTCATGTTACAATATCGGATCACCGTTTGGAGGCGTGCGCGTCAAGTTTAGCTAACATCAATATGTTCCGATGCACTAAAATGATATACCGAGTAGCTGTCGGAAAACATTCGATTTATTTCAGGGGTTTTGATGATATCTTGGGCGTTTCGGCGGTATTGGAAAGTATCCTTGAATCATTGGGACCGCCTTCCTTCGTTGCGATTGTATTCATTTATTTTTAATGTTTGGAAAAGTTAAGATCTGCACTGAACCATGTAAGTATCATAAAAAAATGGTATGGCACATGTTCTCATGGAGGCGATGTCCAACACGTTTTCGCGCCGGAAGGGATGATACCCGAGAGCTCCTCGAAACTTTGAACAATTTCTAGAAACCATATCGATAGTTTCATGAGACGTTTTTGATGTTTTCTGCGTGTTTTCGCCGTGGGCCTGACATACTTCGCCCTGTCATTGCGCATACCGCTTAATGCGGCTGCCTTGGCTCCTCCTCGTTACGGTGCGCGCCTTGCTGGGCCTTGTGGTTGTCTTGCTGTTTCGACCGTTTATGGAATATGGGACGCGTAAATCTTACAAATAACCAATGCAATCTAATATTGGTTTCGTGTTTTATTGTTCTCGGGCCGCTTTGGGGCCCTCATGGTGTTTTGTTTTAAGTTTTTTTTCGGCCCTTGCTGTCTTGAGTATTTCCCATACCAACACGTGCGACCTGAACAACACCACTTAAGTCGCACGATATTTAACCATTGTACGGTGACGACAAAACCGAACCGATTACATTCTTGGTACGGTGTTGTGGTGACTCCCGTTAGCCTTAAGTCGGGCCTGTCCCCCTCAAAGAATACTCCAAGAATTGTCAACAATACTCCAAAAATAATCTGGAAACTATTTTTGGGGGCATTTTTGGTGCATTTGTTTCGCCAAAAATCCCACTATAAGTGGGACAGGGCCGATTTGACACTGACCTTCTGGGCATAAGCGGTTGAACAGATTGTACCCGCGAGGGGGTAGACACCCCAGATCGCCGGAAATGAAGATGGTTCCAGACACCCCAAAACGGTCTGAAGATAGGAGAGACTGGGATTCATAATCATTTCAGGTTTCGGATATTTTTTTCCCTTTATTTTGGTTTTGGTATTGTTTTTTGGTTTCGGTATCGCTCCGTTCGGTTTCAATGCCAGCCTTTTTGGTTTCAATATAGTTTCTTTCCTCTCTCCCAGTGTTTCTCTTTCCTCCCGCTCCTTTCACTAATCCCCCCGTTCCGTTCGCTACTCCCGTCCATTCCGTTCGCTACTCCTTTCCCGTTCCTTTCAGTATTCCCCTTCCGCTTTTCATTGCTCACTGCTTCTTCCCGCTCCTCTCACTACTCCTCTTCCGTTCCTTTCATTACTCCCGTCCCGTTCGTTTCGGAAAGTGGCCGTTGGTTTGCGGAGTTCGCATTCTGAGCAAAGGCGTGCGGATCCGCCGAACCACTCCCGCTGCCACTTCTCGCCGTTCGAAGGCTCTTGCCGTACGTCACACCATGGCCTTCCACTGTTCTCTCCGAGTCAACCTGATCTTGAAGCGACAACCGGCGTGGTTGTGATTATACTACATAACCGTTCGGCTGTCTCTTTATCCATTGCTGCTCGGATGCTTAACGGGAAATCCCCGTGCTCAGGGCGTGCTGGATTGGAGCGTCGTTCTACACCAGGTTTCGGCACATTAATGCGGCGGGACGGTGGTTCGGGTGCATGCGCCGGCCGTCGCTGTCCGATGATACAACTGCTCACATTTACTCTCTCTTGTTAATGTATTGGAACCGTTCCTCCCGACGCTCCTCAAAATACCTGCTTCGCGTTCATTACCTTGCCAATTCTATCACGTTGAGAGCCTTCTTCCCGGTATCGATCAAGTTGCTTATTGTATTCTGACATGCATTTATTTTTTGTAATGTTTTCGTTTAAAACATGAACGATCGCATTTTTGTTCTCACGGCAGACCAAATCGTTTCCATAATAAGTGGGGCGAGAAAATAAAAGTGGAAGGTACGGCAGAAAAATTCGAAATGAAATATCCTGGGCGGTGCTTCCAACACGTCTCCTGTGCTTGAATAGGAACAATGGGAGGAAACCGGGTGGGAGGAGTGAGAGGAAACCGGAATGGAAGGAAGTTGGGATAACAAAAGTCGAGATAAAAGTAAAAGGAAGCCGGAAGGAAACCGGCATGTGAGGAAGCCAAACTGGGAGGATTGGGAGGAAACCGGAATGGAAGGAATGGGAGGGCACCGAAATGGGAGGAAGCTGAAAAGAAACCAGAACGATGGGACAAACCCGGAATAACCGGAATGATGGGAGGAAGCTAGAATGGGAAGAGCGGGAGGCGGGAGGAAGCCAGAACGAATTTAGAATCGGAGGACGTCGACATGGGAGGAAACCGGAATGGGAGGAATAGAAGGAAGCCAGAATGGGAGGAAACCGGAATAGGAAGAATGGGAAGAAACTGAGGTGGGAGGAAACCGAAATGGGAAGAAGCCAAAATGGAAGGAAACCGGAATGGGAGGAAACCGGAAAAGGAAGAATGGGAGGAAGCCGGAATGGGAGGAAACCGGAATAGGAGGAATGCGAGGAATAGAAGGAAAAAGGAAAAGAGAACACGACGAGAAGACATTTGATGAATGCAATTATGTCTCCACGCCGTGCGAAGCATATTCGGCGGGCAACCACGCCGCACCTGCCAATAGATCGTGGTTTCGGTGTCGTAATTTTCCGCACTGGGGTTTCCTCATATTCCGAGTCGCTCGGTGTCGTTGCTCACCCTATTCCATTTCAGCGCCGCTTTTCCGACGATTACAAAAATTCCTATCATTACAGAAACAACGGGTAAACCATACATGTTTTTTGTAATCCGTGTATGTTTTTTGTTTGATTTCGTTCGGTTTCCGTTACGCGTGCGAAATTAATTGCGTCGATATTGGAAACAATTCAATGATATTATTTTTTTCATAATACCGCAACTTGTACGTGATACCGAAACCATTATTCAATATTGAATCCCATGCTGCCGGATGCGGAGGGCACGGGATTCGGTACTCGGCGCCCCCTACGAAGGCCCAAAAACCTCCAAAATGAGCCCCAAGAGGGCCCCAAGAGGCCCCACGGAGGACCTCAGAAAACCCCTAAGATTGCCTTCGTCGTCCTTCAACAACCTTTCACAACAACATACCTCCCAAACACATACCTCCCAAACCCGATTTCTCATCCTCATTGTCATCGTCCGTTCCTTTCCTCCTATCCTGCCTCCTCCCTCTTTCTCCTCCTCCTCCTCCTCCTGCTCATCTTCCTCGTGCCGCATTCCTCCTCCTCCTCTTCTTCCCCCTCCTCCTCCTTCTCTTCTTCCTCCTCCTCCTCCTCCGCCTCCTCCTCCCCTTCCTCCTCCTACCCCCATGATGGTCCCAGGAGGTCGAGCATGGGTTTTTAGTCTACCTCCAAGAGGCGTCAAAACAGCCATCAGACGGTCCAAGATAGCGAAGCCTGGCTCAGGATAGCCTCCGAACGCCTCTAGCCGAAGCCGGCTCACGATAGCGTCCAAGAGGCCGCAATAAAGCCTCCGATCGTGTTTGGATAAAATGGTGGGGCATTTTTTTGATCACAAGCGCACCGGAAGACGCCGGGCGCCGTCAGAACGAAGCGTCGAA